AAAAAAGATCATGAAATCAAACTAGGACTCGAACCCACATCTTCCGATAACCGGTCGGCTATTTTACCAATTAAACTATTTGATGATCACTTCAGTTAATTAATAACTACATATCTAAACGACAAATAGGTCGAGATAGAAAAATCAGGACAATAACGATCAAACGATTATCTAATAGAAATTCTTATTGTTGCACGAGGACTTATAGAATCAAGTTCAGCAAATTTATGAAGTTTCCAATGTAGCAAAACAGAACTCTTTATCCACAAAATATGCTGAAGAAATCTATAAAGAGATATTCGCATAGATTAGGACAAAAGAGTTACTACATTTTTGAGGGTGAGGGTGAGGGGTGTGAGGGTGGGTGAGGGTGTGAATTAAGAAGAGAGATAGCTACTACTATAGTTTCGACCTTTCTCAAGGGTCTAGTCTTCAGGTAGCGTAGTAATTCGGGGCTGTAGTAGAAATTTGGCACTCAAGTTAGTTTATGGTTGTGAAATGATGTTGTTTTAAAGTTTTTTGTTGATTGGGTGCATGGTGGTTATGTCTTTATGGTATGAATGGTTATAATTCTTGAGGAAGGTTTTTACGATAGGTATCCAGTTATGAAGGGCAATTTGCGGTTTGCTACACTTGCCCTGGGAGAGTGAAGGAAAATGAAATTTATTTTGATCATGGGTTCACGTGGCTCTATAGTATAGAAAACTACAAAAGGAAAAATGTACAAGTTTTATAGAGTGGTCCCAGTGATTCTTGAAGTAGATGTTTGCCGACTGTTGACCGGTTCACATAAGTATCCAACATGAAAGTCATTATGGCACGTTTCATACGCATTGGTAATAATATGGCGACTAAAATAGGAGAAGAAATTATTGGAGGGATGATTCAGTGAAGATGTACATCCGTTGTGGTGTCGTGGTACTTACAAGTGGGATAAGTGGCTCGTCAAGGGCCTGCTGCTGGGGAGGGTGTTGATTTCTGTCGAATGCTGGATGATCGAATCCGGGTACTCCGTCTGGTGCGTGGCGGATTACCGGCGACAGATAATCTGTGTCTTTTTCTTCTTGTTGCGGCAAACCTAAGGGCGTGATTGATTGTGATTATAAAAGGAAATGAGTGATCAAGCCGGGTGCAAGTACTCACGTCTGGTTTGA